TATATATCGAAGGTGTATTTCGGGCATGGTGTATTTTTTTACGGTTTGAAAAGCATAATTATAACAAAGCGCCTTTAGCTTTTGCTTCATGTATTTACTTAAATTTACATATTTTCAATTCACTCACTAATTCAAATGTGTAATCTGCAAATGCTACTTTTACTAAACAATTATGCTAGCTATTTCTTTTACTATATGTACAGACGATTAGATATTAAGAGACAAGTTAAAATATTTAAATTATACTTCGTTATAATTTATATTTATATGTTTAATAAGTTTACAGATTATATATGTCGTAGGTGGGAATAGGATTTAAGTTGATTCAGAAATTTTAAGATTAGGGTTGGGATTTTTAGCATAATTATTCCTCTCTAATCTAAATAGATTCCGGACCCTATTATAGTTTCATTCCCACTTACAACATATACAATTAAAAAATAACGATTTCAGAAATTTATGGATTAGCGCAAGATACCGCAAACATGTATATGTTAGTATTTGATAAATTGGCTCTAAAAGAAATTATGATTATGGAAAATATACAAATTTTATCTGATATAATACTCTGAAGTTTGGTGTTAAATGTGTAACTCGAAAAATAATACAAGAATAGACAAGTGGAGACAAGAATATTGACAATTGTATTAAAGAATTTCAATTTAGAACTACAGAACATGAAAATATAGTCGAGTGGATAGATAATATTCAAAAGAATGGAGACAAATTTTGTCAAGGTGGTTAGATAGCATACGAATAACTCAAATAATATGAAGAATATACAGTCACGCACACCATATAGAGATAAGCGATTACTTATAAATTAGAATTAATTGTGTTATTTTTATGGTGATGAATGATTAATTACAAGCATTTTTTTTTATTTACGTATGATTATCTAGTAATTATGTAATTTAGATTAGAATTACATAAATTCGTTATTATGTATATTGAATCAAAAATTTTTATTATTAATTATTCACAAAAAATAAAATAAAATTTAACTAGTATCATTAAAAATATTAAAAGATTTTTTTTTTTTTATTGTCGAATAATAATATATTTAATTAAATTATATTGAAGAAAAGTATTAATACTAAATATTTGTAATATTAGCATTCAAAAATTTTTTAAGAATTATAGAATAAGCTTGCTCTGCTCTCGGTAATGCATGCTTATCTTTTCGAAGCACCTCCAATATATTATCTTCATTTAATATCTTCTGATTTTATGGACTCTCTTCATTGACATCAATAAGCTTCTTTAGATTTGATTTATTCTTATCTACTTTACTTAATCATGTAAGAAGAGAAGAAACATTATTTCGTACACCTAGTTTAAGAAAATTTTCACAATAATGATATTTTCCCTTTAATGAAATACTAAAACAGCTCTTATGGTATCCATGACCACATGCGATAACCATAGAGCTTTTATCTGTCTCATCGCATAATAGTTTATGACAATGATCGCACTTGTTATATGTTGGCAAATGCTCACTGCTGAATCCTAGTGGCATTTGCTTTTTGTCTACAGTAATGTCAACGATGCTAACTTGTAAGTAATTGTTTCATCCTGTTCCTTAACGATGGAACTTCGACCGAGCTTTTGATAAATATTACTGAAGATTTCAAGAAGAAATACTTCCGCCTTTTTCGTTAATAAAGCCAAATGATCTTTATCCGCATATGTAGACTTTTGTTAAATGATGAATACATCTTTGAATGTATTAATTGTCTTTCTGTCATTAACGATCTTGGCTGTTTTAGAAAGCTGTTCGAGGGTATCACAAGGTGAGGTTTGTTGTCGTATTCTGCTGTGCATATTCTCAACAGGATAATTTGTAAACTTAACTAAATGATCTGTTAGCACATTTAATATTGGATGATTATTCTGACTCCAAAGAATACATCTGAAAGAAATGTTAAAGGCGCTTTGTTATAATTATGCTTTTCAAACCGTAAAAAAATACACCATGCCCGAAATACACCTTCGATATATA